CTTCCTCTTTAGTTCAATTCGTTTAAAGTACAGGTCGATTACGTTATTTTTAATAGTTTTGTGCAGTCTACTGTATCTAAGTACAACATCGGGAATTTCTTATTTCGATACAGTTGGATAGAGCATCAACTGCTCTATCGAACCATATGGTTTCGATTTTATTTCCTTTGGCTGCACTCCAAAAATGAATAAGTTACAAATGTAGTCAAAAAAAAAATTTTTTAGAAAGCACAAATTTTATAGTTCGTTTTCACATCATCTAATAGGTTTTATTAAAAAACAAAGTATACCAGAAGATGCGCCGTGAAAAGCTCTACAATTTACATAAGACCGCTTCACTTTTTTGTCTTCAAACGGACTAAATTCTAATTTCTCCGTTGAAAAAATCGTTTTTTTTCCACGAAAAAGATATGTCTTTTTACGCTTTAATATTTTTATCACCTATTATGTCTTCTTAAAAAAGCTATACGCACCAAAACAATCAGCATGAAAAGCTCTACAAACTACATAGTAAAGCTTATTGAAATTGCTTTAAAAACAAGTTTAAAAATGCTGTGACACCAATACTCGCACAGGCCACATTTGATCGGTCAGATTTTTGTTCATTTCGAAAACAAAAAGAGTAGAAGTAAAACAAGCGATCTTATATAAATTGTAGAGCTTTTTACGGAGCATCTTCTGGTATGTTTCGTTTTTAATAAAGCCTATTAGATGCTATAAAAGCAAAGTTCAAAATGTGGTCATTCATTCTGTCCCAGCAATTTTCTAAAAAAAATTTTTTTGACTTCATTTGTAACTTATTCATTTTTGGAGTGCAGCCAAAGGAAATAAAATCGAAACCATATGGTTTGATAGAGCAGTTGATGCTCTATCCAACTGTATCGAAATAAGAAATTTCCGATGTTGTACTTAGATATAGTTGACTATACAAAACTATTAAAAATAACGTAATCAACCTGTACATATCTTGTATGAACTAATAATGAGTCATTCAAAACGTTGAAAAAATACATTGATTAGTTCAAATGAATAAAAAAGAAACAAAAACAAAGAGTTAATTAGAGTCGATATTGTTATTATAATTATTTCCACCTGATATTATCGTGAATGTATTTAATATAGATGCCGTTAGTAGCTAACTATAGAAATAGATTCAACTCTGTTTTTCTGAAAATTTAAAGAAATTTAAAGCACCAACTTCACTCAAGAATATCAGCCAGTCGATCCGATTCGATCGAAAGCAAACCTACCAATTTCAAGTATGCAAATGAGAAAGAAAGCCATTATAATATGATTCATCATTCTGTTCTCTATAAATAAATGCCATCATAAAAGTATAATAAAGTCATAAAATTACTCATATTCTCTTCTGTTGAGGTAAATAGTCGACGTTCCATGAGAGGATTCGCTTGTCGGGAGGAAGTATTTTTTTACTCTGTCGATAAATGAGAACTTTGATGTTTTCAGATATGAGTCACCGATAACGATGAAAAAAAACATAAAGACTAACCTTTTAACAACACACTCACTTTTCAACTGTCGATTCATCACAAATTTACGAAAACTTCATGTCGTGAAAAGTTTTTTCAACGCATGTGCTCGATCGTATCGAAAGATTCTTCTGTGTACATGGTGGTTGGGTAACAATCAGTCATGCAGCACATTTTGACTGATAATCGAGTGTTAATAATTAACCATACTCCATCAGCGATTCCATGCCTCCTTAAACGTCATCCACGGATGTGCACGCGTCTTCGTCTAGAAGATAATCGTTATTTATTCGATACGCTCGAATATGATCAAGAATATCTATCGAGTACTCTATTCTTTTCAACGATGGAATCTAGACAAGCTTTCTGGCAAGAAATTGTCGAACAGTGATGCAATCAAAATTTATATTCAAATAATGAAACACTGATTTTTTCGCTTTTTCATTTCGTTCTACTATTTAATTAACAATCGTCGGACAATGATGAATGCTTTCATTTGTTGTTGTTTGAAAATCAAAATCCACTTCTGATGATCGAAGTGGATTTATTCTCATCAATGATTTTCTCACTGTAGCTACGACACCTAAATTAAATCCCATATTAGAATCATAAAATGTTAATGTTCTTCCACTGATTAGCGGCATGATTTCTCGACTATTCGGTCCTCTCCTCTCTATCCACTATTTCCCGTCCTGGGTAGACGTATTCTGACGCGAGAACTTCGAAAATCAGCTCAACCACGGTTTCCAATCAAACTCAATCCGTTACCCGATAGTCTATCGAAACTGTTTAACGTACCGTGGTACCATATCAAGTTCTTATTTTCGTCGAGTTCTGTTGATCTCTATACAAATTAACAGCACCAATATCAATTACATTAAATGACATTAAATGGTCCACTGACCGCTTGCTATTCATCAGTGTTTTCTGCAGGGAAATTACAACCGAGTGAAACCGTTCCAAATGGGAGCCGCCTTCGATATGCCTTCGCACTTGCCTTGATCGCCGTTAACATTAACTTCAGTCGTTTTCTTTATTGGCATAAGTAAAATCGAAACTCATCGATCTTTTTCAATGAGGTCTGCTCCATTTTGACCATTACCAAAGCAATGTATGAAAAATACACAAAATTAATTGAAGTCGAGTGGTGTTCCGTTGTTGATGAACATTTTCGCCGATTTTTATGGAAAATGAGCATAGTTTTCGTCAATTTAGTCGATGACGTCCCGATGAGCGAACTTCTGAAATAGCTTTGTCCAACATCGGCAAATATCCATATTCATGCGAGTACAATCAACATGTGCTGGTGACGGTCAAATCGACTTTTCATTAGCTCATGAAATGGAAATCGATGATCGAGCGAAACAATTTATCAACGTCTATTTACGTTTCATCGAATGTTCTGCAAGTGATAAACTTTGTCAAGCTGAAACAACATTAGGTGAATTTTGGAACTATTATGATCATAAGCAAGTTAGTGATTACCAACAGTGATTTTTTAAATTTAATGGTAAAACAATGGACTCTATGAACGATACTTTGTTCTTTGTCTGATCGAATATAACCCTATTTGTTGTTCTGAACAGTAGCATTAGAACTTTACTTGCGATGAAATAGTATGTAAGATACTCGGCATTAAACTGAACTTTTGTTAAAAGTGACAGATGACTTCAAGGACGAGCTAAGTTTTACTTATCGGTAAGAAACAGGCCTGAAATTGTAAGATCCGCTAAGCAATAGACATTCTTTTAATGAAAATTTGTCGGATTCAAAATACTGAATGCAAGTGCGAATCATGTCTTCATGTGCATTCTCTTCCTACTCATTGAATTGGCTGGTCACGTTCTGTAGAACAAACAGTACCACGTCATTTTTTAGCTGTATATGTCTACATGAATATGTAATTGTGTTTTATAGTAGGCTCTCTCAACGTAGAATATTCAATTCTACCGAAAAATATTAGTATAGCTTTGATTTAAAAAAAAATTTAATTCATCAAGTCAAAATACCACTCTGATAAAAGTTTATTCGTATTTGTATCTTTGCTTTTCTTTTCGCACCTATAAAGTAATAGTAGCAATCGCCTACAAAGAGACTGTTTCTGACTATTTAATTTTATTGAAAGCATGAAGATTATACAATGTATAGATGGACTATGATCATTACTAGTGACATTTTTACTAACAAAGGGAACATTTTCAGATGCTACCTACCAATTTTAATGAATTTTTGACTGTAGAAATTACATAATGTCCTAGTAAATACCTTAAAAGAATTTGAGTTTGTATCGCTTTCTTCAAAAGTTATGCATATTTTTATTTTGTCTCTGTAAGATATAATATATACTATTGAAAAACAGATGGGTCAGATTATCAATGAGGTTGGTTGCTGCTAAATATTTTTTTCCACTTTTTTAGTGCAAATGAAAGATCGTATGAGAAAAGTTATAACTCCAAAAAATCAAGTTGTTCTGAAGTATTCAAGAAGAATGCTCAGAACCATAGTCATCGAGGTTTTGTGACTAGACCATAATAGTTTTAAAAAAATTTTTTCTAACTGTTGACGGCTTTTTGAGAATTTATCTAACTTTGAACGTTCCTTTGAGCCAGGAAAGGTGTCAAAATGTTCAGAATTTCAAGAGCTTATAGAAACTCGATTTATTCTTTACAACAGCATAATCCGACAAGGTTAGAGTAATATTACAAGCAAAAGAATGACCATCAAACCTAGACCCTTCTCTTTTGTGGAAACACAATCATTTACTAAAACTTACTGTAATGAACATTGGTATATCACAAAAAAATCAATGCATGCGATCGCTGACATTTTTCACAAGTAATTCAGAAAAAGTTAATTTTTTGGATTTATAACTTTTCCAGTACGAATTTTCATTTGCACTAAAATGTAGACAAAATATGTAGCGATAATCTGCAGGATTGATGATGTGGTGAAATAGTGTAAATTATACCTTACAGAGACAAAATAATAACATGCATAACTTTTGAAGAAAGCGATACAAACTCAAATCCTTTTGGGGTATTTACTTAGAACATTATGTAATGTCTATAGTCAAAAATTCATTAAAATCGATGGGTGGCAGGGTTTGGGCCTGGATGTGGGTGTTGAGGTTGGTGAATCAAACGCATCCATATTCCACACCCTACATTCTAATGTAAATCCCTTAAAATCGAAACGGTCTTGCTTTATCGTTGGTGACGATAGCTTTCAAATATTGAAAGCTGATGACAGAGAAGAAAACTTTACACGATAATGAGGCATCATGATGCAGACATCTTATTTTTCTTTCTTTACAATAATTTGGTGGATGAGTGTAAGAAAAAAGTTGCTCTAACGAATGTAATGTATTATAGATTATCATCTACTTACATGGTTTTTTCATTCTTGTGGGGATAAGTATCTTCGTAATACATGTGATTTATGCTCTAATAAAGATTCATTCTATATAATTATTTTTGTTGTAGATTTCAAAGAGAATTCTTCATATCCAATAAATACGATGTATTAATAAGATACCAGTGAAACTCAGATAGATTTTATTGTTCTAGTTCTTAAAATATCGTCTTCACATTATGTCCAACACAGCAAAGACTGACTCAAACAAATCTCAGGTAAATACGATAGTATCAAATGTGTTTGTAAATTTTATCAATAAGTCATAGCACTCATATGGGCAATAGCCAAGTTGTTCTTAGATGTTTTTAATTTAGTGACATAGTTTTATGTTCTACAAGATAATTTGAACGAACTTTATATCTTTGTATTGAAGTCTTCATGATCCTAACTCTAATTAACAACTGAGAAAATTTTGCATAATGGAAAGCATTCTATGTAAACTTCACAACGGAGTCAAAATTCATATTAACAATTTCTATCATAGCATTTTTAGCTTTCCTAATCTAATATACATTTTTAGGAGAATAATGTTTGTATTATATGTTTGGGATCGTTTGGCATCATCGATGAGACTATACCACGTCAATGTATTAATGAAAACTGTCGTCAAAAATTTTGCTCAAAATGCGTGAGCCATATTCGCATTTACAATGGTAATAATCGACCTTTTCAATGTATGTACTGTTTAAAAGAATATCCAATTAATTGTTATCCAGAAGAAATTGATATTTTGAAACAACAACTATGGAATGATAAGGTTATTAAATATGGTATTGAACGCACAAAACATTTGCTCATAACAAACTGTGATCCAAAAGAATTAGATTTTGATATTGACTGTCGACGACGACAATTATTGAATCTATTTTCAACACACAAACGTTTTTGTAAGGAGACACATGCAAATGAGACAGACATAGAAATTGAAAATATGATTAATCAACTTTCAAATATTATTATCCATTCAAAGTCTCATGCCAGCAACAGTATAGAACTGTATAAAATGCCTTATAGACAAGCTATATCTTTGCCCGATTCTGATGATATCGGTTCTCTTTACATTCGTCTTTGTGAACAATTGTCCGTCGATATTTCCAACAATGAATTTTCTAGTATTTTTCCCAATACACATAAAAAAATGAACGATTGGATGTATGAACAAGCAGTCGGTGAAGAATTTCAACCGAAGCTTTCTCATGTTATCAATGCGATCGAACAAGACTTAGTTTCTCAATGGTCGAATCCATCTGTTACACCTTCAACTAGTATTGGAGTCATTGGCTATACAAATGCAGGTAAAAGCTCTTTACTCAATCGTCTTCTTGGCGTAAGCTCTCTAAATGATGATCAAGCAGCCCCAATAGGTAGTATGAAAACGACTTACTCTGCTTTACGATTCAACCGTAAAGAACCATTGATATATCATCATTCAATAAATAGAAACATACAAATACCAGTTACACTAGTAGATATTCAAGGTCATGATAAAAACAGAACATCAGACAACAATATGATTGAAGCTGGTAATTATCATAATGAAATTAAAAGGGCCAATTGTGATATTTATATCTTAGTCATCGATGATGTTCTTCATGATGAACAAAAGGATTGGATGACTTTTATTAGAGAAACATTAAAGCGAGAATGTATCTTGGTTAGATCCAAAGTAGATATTCTTCATTTAACTAAAATGCGAGAATTGTCAGGCAATTTCTACAGCAAGAGTACCCAGGAAGAGCGTCTTCAATATCATACGGTGATCATGGATCAAATACAAAGTCAGAACACGATTCCATCGAACAAAATTTATTTAATATCAGCTGATTATCAACCAAGTAGTATTGATGCCGATCTTCTATTAGCCGAACACTCGTTTGATTTTGATCTATTACTGACCGAATTGAGTTCATTAGCTTTCAATGCTCGAACTTCTCGAATCCATCTATTGGCTAAGCAAACAGTGAGCAGAGCGATAAATACATGTTTTCGTAGAGGATACGTGCTAAATGTAATGAAGTATAAGATTGCCGCTGGCTTTGCAGCGATTATACCTTTCGGTGATCAATTGCCTCGATATTTATCAAGAGACACAATTAGAGAAGCATTCGGCATAAATGATGAATTTGGTCAATATCTCAATCAATTTAATCTTACTATTGACAATGATCTTTTACAAACGTCAGTGTTTCGAAAATACATCAAAACGCAAGAAATGAAAAAAGAGTCAAAGCTTGATGCAAAAGCGATTGGAACAGCTGCTGGGCATGCAACGGCAGTTGTCGGCACATTTAGTGATGATATCGTTCGCATAGCTGCGCCAACTGCAACAGCATTATCCACTGCTGGACGTATCGCATTAACTGCAGCAACAATTGGTGTAGGTGTACTTATCTCCGCAGGAGTGTGTGCGTGGTCAGCGATTAGTAGTGGAAAACATATATTTAGTTATGTTAATCGTGTTTCTGACGATTGCATTCTTGTAGTGGATAAAATAATCAGGGTGATCATCGAACGTGAAAAAAACAAAGGAACAAACAACATATATCCTACAGCCCCGAACGTTGATTAATACTCCAGCATGCACGATGATAAGCTACGTACACATAATTAAGACATTCTATGTATTCTAGAGAGAAAAGAAATAAACTTGAGTCTATAATTCAAATTGTTTTCTATGTTGATATCAGAATTATGCTTAACGGTGTAGGTTCTACCCATGTAACCATTTTTAGACCTCGAATGCGTCTCCGAGCGTCTGTCACTTATGCAACTTGATGCGTTTAAACATATCCAGAATGCAACATTTTCGGGATTCTAAACGCGTTCAGAAACCAAGACGGGTTAGGATGCAGTTTTGAGGATGTGGGTGTGGGTGTGAGAATTGTTTTTTCTTAATCTACACACACTCTCGTTCTGTACATATGGTATCGTTGGAGATAGCTTTCGTTTTGATACGTTTTGAAATTGAAAGATATATTTCAAGGTCAATTGAATTAAAAAAAATGAAAATATAGAAAAAGAAAAGTGAATTGAAGAATTATTAGGCCGACATTTTCAGAACAAAATGGTTCTGTAATTTTTCGACTGATGCAGAGGTTCAGACGATATTTTGGAACAATGAATTTGAAATCAGAATTTTGTTCTCTTTTTCAATCGATGCTTAGTATTATTGTAGAATTCATAGATTAATATTAATGAGTTGGTCTTTGGAAAGCGTGAAAATTAAATTTGAACGAAAACAGCTATATGAACAGATTCAGAGACGGAATATATGATCGTATCTCGTTTAGAATTTATTTTCTGCTATTTTTCGTGGCACTTTCTTATTTGCATCATAAATATATCCAATTCAGTTTACGAGGAAATTTTTTCCAGTGTCGCCCTCTCGCTCCGATTTCAATTAGTTTTGCGTTTAGATACTGTCAAGGGGTCTGGTAAAACACCTTTAAACGATTTGAACTCCTATCACTTTCTTGAAAATCTATGAACATTAAACTCATCTATTAAATCATAAACATGTATTTTTTACTTGATAACAAGTAAAATTGTTTTGATGATACCAACAGTAATGCTTAGTGCTAGTATTTGCTTATTTTAAATAAACTTCTATCAATAACAAAATATCAGACCATTTGTTGAATGGATCCGACATTTTATTTTTTACCATAGTGCTATTTATGAGCTTACTAGAATATTGAACAGTGCCTACAGACAAAAAACGTATCAAAACAGAAAAGAGGCGCCCGAAAAGGTTCTCTAGTCAGTATTTATCTCTCTTAGCAATAATGCTCTTTATTGAAGGCTTTTTATTACTGATTTTTCTCACAGGATTAACGACAAAATAGTGGCCTACAAAGTGGGGTAAGTACTGAGAATCTCGAAGCAATACTTTCGAAGTGATTGAATTCCTTTTGAAAGTCTGAAAAATAACCGTACTTTTCTATTATTTAGTCGTATTTTGAACAAATTTAATGTCTACTGTGCATTATTTTTGTACATTGAAATTCATTCAAACTTTATTTTCAGGCCTTCCAAAGATTCGCTTATAACTTCTCAATTATGAGTCCCATAAACATTAGTAGCATAGGATCAGAAAGGATAAAAGATTTTGATACTAATCCATTAGTATAAAACTCCTACTGTATCTCTTAATTGATGGAAGAATCAAGCAACATACTGTCCAGAAATAAAACCTTTATAAAAAAAATTGACTCAACACGTTAAACTACTCTTTTCTTGATTAGTAGTTTCTTCACGGCTCAGTTTTAGTGCTTTTGTTTCAGTCGATGCTTAAAGTTGTCGTTGTTGTTCAGATCTTCGTTCCGTTTTTTGCTCGATGATTATTTGCTGAATACACATCGGTAAGCCCGGATTAAGACTCATTGTATATGGCAATAATGTTGTCAGTATATCATTAAAATCAATCATAATTTTGATAAACATTGTATCGTCTCGTACAAAAGGATTTCCTTCCTGTTGAATCATTCCTAACGGGATAAATTTCGGTATACCACTGACTATATTCATATCCAATCGAGGTCGCTGAAAACTAGTTGATTTAATATCCGGTCGAAATGAATCTATAATATGTTGTTGTGCAGACGTTTGATCGTACAAGCAGAATGTGACTTTATAGTTGAATGGAAATTTGAGAAATGGATCGTTCAAACCTCGCATGAGCACAAAAAAGTGTGACAGGTGTGTGCGACGGACATTTCCATCATAATTTAAATAAAGACGAGCTCTCATTTTATAACCAGTTGGAGATGAATAAAATGGAAGAGAAAAAATTGATATTTGTTGTTCAAATTCTGGTTCAACTAGTTGTTAAAGGCAAAAGAGTGTATAGTCAAAAAAATACATTTGAATGTTACGCTATATCTTGTATTTATCACTTTTTGTATATTATATGTTTCAATGATTAACTACTCACATCGCTTTTAAAGAACAAATACTCCTTTATTAGAATATATACCTTTCTGTCGTATAACTTCAATGTATTTCGTTCTCACTACTTTCTATTGATATTCCATCGCTAAGTTTTATAATGAATAATCATTTTATTTACCGATTTGTTTTTTAACATTTGTAATTTTTTATATAAATATTCCATCATATGAAATACATTGTAAAGTTTCAATTGTTTTCTTTCATGATGCTGAATTCTCTTTAATAACCTCAGGATTGATTGATGATTCATTTGAATTGCTATATTGCTTAATTGTATAGACAATTTAGATTGTAAAAAACTTAATTTCAATGTCGAAGATTTTGCTTGACATTAAAGTAATTTATTATTAAGTCGTTCTTGTTCATCACTATTCAATATATTTAAATTACGTGACGGAATGTCGAGTATTTCACATGATTCTTGAAAACGAACTGTATTAGCATCAATTGCTACAACTGTTATTGATTGAGAGGAATACATGTCCATTTGAGTCGATGACTTCCTTACATTTTCTACTTCTAATTCCATTTGATGAAAGCTTTCAGTAATGAATTTAGGTGTTGTTCACTCCAATAGAGGTTTGATAAATTACAATGATGAATCTATAGAAAATATTTTCAAATAAATTGGTGTTAACTAGTTACTGTCTATACTAGTTCATAACAACCGAAGTCTTTCAACAAGCAGTTTACAAACATTTTTTCACATTTCGTTATTTTATGTTCATTAAGATTTTCAACTGAATCCAATTGTTCATGACAATATTTACATTTTGTACTTTGAGCAAGATGTACCTTTTAGAGAAAAGAGTCTAACGTTCAGAAATAAGATGAATATAAAATGTGTTACTTGATAATCTTTTAGAACACCAATCCAATTACAAAAAAACATTCGATTGGTAGTGATTTCATGTCATTTTTAAAACCAGGATCAATCATCACCTAAATCAGCAAACATTTATATTCTACCGACAGAAGATAAATATTTTACTTGACTTTTCGATGTTTCTGTTAAATATTGTTGACACTTGATGTTGATTCTTAAAACGATAATAAGAAATATCAGAATTAATCGAATAATGAAATTTACTGATGTTGAGAATAGAAACATGATTGACATTGTCGATGACCACACCAAGTTAATTGAATTGTATCTCGTAATAACAATGAACACACGAAACGAATATAACTCGTATGAAGAATATTTTTATTTTTGACGTCAAAACCAACCATCGTGTCATTAATCAAAAATATGAAAAAGAGTGATATATGGCATCAATGAAAGAGTAAAATTCTAGAATAATACAGAACGCGTCGTTTCATATATTATATAGTTTACAAAAAATGATGATTACTAGTGGCTAACAATTAAAACGATATTCTACGAAAGAGATCCAAAAATAACTCGAGAGTCTTTGGTTGCAAATAACTTTTGATAAGAACAAGAGAGAGAGCTGCGATTTTCGCCGTTCGAAAGAGGAGATGAAGATGCATCGAATCATATATTATAGGTTTCTCTAAGATGTTTTCTAGAGTTTTCTTAATCAATTTGCTAAAAACCTTTTTTGGAAAAATGGTTCTTTGTACAGTAAGAAAAACGCAAAAAAGTGATTTTTTCACAGAAATCAGTAAAAACCGGCTCCGAGTTTCGAGTAGAATACCTATAGATTCTGAAGGAGTAACTTCCAAAGTCTGGGCTTAGCACAGTTTTCTAGGTTTTGGATGTGGGGTGTGTGTTGAAGACAAATTCTACACTCAGGTCCATATCCACACACCCACACCCCCCTTTTGATCTACTTCATTTTGTTCTTAGAAAAAAACATTAAAGTGACTTGGTTTTGTAGTTTTTGAGCTAACAAATCTAATAATGTATATATATTACCTTGACGTCTTAAATTATTAGTATTTCTGCTCCTTTCAAGCTTGACCATCATTATAAGATTTTTTCTTGTTGTTAACTAAGAAGACAGAGTCAGATGTCAATGAGCTCACTCATGGTGTGATGAATTGAGCATAGCTTGACCTGCATTTTAGCACCAAAATATCATATAAATGAGCTTTCGTTGAGCCGAATATGAGCTAGCAAGTAACGCTAGAGAAGTTCACATGGATGCATGTCCCGTCACTAGTCAACGCTGAGAGCCTAATATCACAGAATATAGAAATGAATATATCATTCAAATTACACTTTTTAACATAGTACATGACGGGCTACGAGAGCATGTATAACGTGTTCGAATAGGTAAAGATGATCATTCTTTCATTTGTATTTACCGGTTTTGTAAGACTAATTATTGGACAACTTTTATTTTTGCCGGAAAATTCATTCGTGGTTCTCCTAAGAATAGAGTCAAAAAATGAAGTCAATCATAACGCCATTCTCAATGCATAGTCATCTGGTTTTTGTGTTCGATAATTATTTCACAAGATCAAAACTTGTTTTCAATTGCCCAAATCATATTTTGATGCACTACATTTTTTGGCTCAACCCTAAAGAAAACTACGGATGAATTTTTCGATGAAAATACAAACTATCCGAACAAATTGAAGTACATATAGATCGACTCGGGTTTTTATGCTGATGCCAAATATATGATTTTTCACTAGAAAAACAAATAATCTTACAAAAATCAGCGGAAGTAAGTCCAAGAATGGTTACTTTTATCTATCCAACAAATTATACATGTTCTTGTAGTTCGTCATGCACTCTGCTAGGACTAGAATTTAAGCGATATATTCATTCTGTATTCTGAGATATTAGGCTCCCAAGATTGACCAGTTACTTCATCGCAGAAGAAGCATTTGTCTTCTTAGCTAACAAAAAGAAGAAATTTTATTGTGATGGTCAAGCTTGAAAGGAGTATATAAGTTCTCATCATTTAAGACTTCACAGTAACATTTACACGCAGCTAGATTTGTCAACTTAAGCGCTGCAAAATCAGTTCCTTTATTTTGAATAATGAGCACATCTTTCGTGAGTTTTCCGAGGTTTATCTGAATGGAATATGTAAAAGAATGTTGTATTTTTGATAATATGAAATATCTAGTTGAATTTGAAAACTATAATTTGTGATTGATTTTGATTAGTTTGTTGAGATTCACGAAAAATATCTTTATAAATATGTAATACTAAAGTAATATTATCATCAATATAAGTATTAATTAATGTTCTTTCATTTTCAACTAGAGATGATATATTAAATAATTTTGAAGAAGTATAAAATAATCTCCACGATAGAGAAGTATCAGATAAATGATATTTATTCTAAACTTCTTTTGATAATAATTTTGATTTATTTAATATTGAATATAAATGTAATTGATCAATGTTTAATGATAATTCAATATTTTGTTTTTGTTCTATTGTTAACTAAAAAAAAACAAAGAAAAAGAAAATTTTCAATGAAAAAAATTTTTGTATAAAAAATTAACTCGACTAAAATCAAGTAAATAAATAACATCTTTAAGAATTTCATCTGAATTTTTTTCTTTTCATTAGCAAATTTAATAATTGTAATTATTAAAGAATATTCATTTAGTGATTGAACATTGTTATAATTATATTTATAAGGACATTGTCGTTCATATAACATATTTAATAATGCTTATTTTGATAAAGATTTAAATTGATTTTCATTGATTAATTTTATTTGAAATTCTTTTTCTTCGATGTTGTTATTGTTTGTATTTGATTGATTATTATCTATTAAAATAAATATAAACTTAAATATTCGAAGAATAACATGAGACATTGATTTTTATCAATTAAGTAATAACTAATGGAACAAATAACATAGTGATAGAATTCATTTTACACGTAGAACTAGTTTGTTAGTCTATGTTTTATTCAATTTCACGTTGTTTCAATTGATGATATGAATCAAACAGCATAAATATAGGTTTTTTTTGCATTCTACTTAAAAAGTCGAATTCATTCCGGTAAACTTGTCTCAGTAATCGAAGATCTCACATTGTCTTGTATGTCCTCAGGAGGTCTTTTATTATAACTTATATATGTTCACATCTTTTAATTAAAATATTTTTTCCAAAAATAATAAACAGAACCATTTTATGGTTTTAAAAGTTAAGAAATCATGTTGACCTTAGCCTTTTAAGATTTTTCAAGTGAAAATCGTGAAAACTACTAAGCATTTCAATATATAATGTGCTCCACTATTTGCTGAATAACTTTTAATAGGAACATTATAGAGACCTACGATTTTTACCATTCA